CAACCAGAGCTCCAGAACGGATCCCGTCTGTAACCGGAGGTACCACTGTAAATAAAGGTAGCCAACAAGAGCAAAACAATCCCAACCAACACCCCCCCTTAATCTAAATAAAGCATCCTTTGCAATGTTGGCTCTAGGTTTCGGTGGACCTTGGATCAAGTTGCCTCCATGGGCCTCCCTCCTTCAGGGAATCTCATTGCCATGATCACCAGCCTCCCTCCTGCATCCTTGCCAGGCAGAGAGCCAAGAAGCAAACAGGCAGTGGCATTGACTGGTCCTCCTTGCCACCAGCTTTGTCTGGGCCAGAGCCAGAGGTGGGGGAACAAGTAAGCAGGTTGCAATAGTTTAGAGGAGAGCTGGTCCAGGGGGCTTTGGGCCAGTGAGTGGGCCCCCTGTTGCCATGTGGAGCCACAGCGGACGCCCAACCAGGCCATCCCTTGGCACCTGATTGAACATGGAAACAGCAGCCATGAAACAAATATTCAGAAAGGAAGCAAAAAATAAAAAATAAAAAAAAAGATTAAAAATCAAATGCCGTCCTTAAAAGGAAGGGTTCTAACTATTTTCTGAAAGCTTTTTCCTCGCAAGGGTCATAGAAAGCACATGAATGTTCCATTCTTGGGTCACTAGGCCACAGTCTGGGAGATAACACACTTGAAACATGTGAGTTCAGGCTGAGCTGAAGAACAGGGGCCATTTGCCTGCAGCTGTGCTCAAGTGGAGAGACACTGGTGGGGGGAAATGTGGTTTGTGCTTTTTCTCATCAGGATATAAAGGTGGGAAACAGGGAAGAGTTTTTCAGAATGCTGAAGCAGGTTTGAAAGAGGGATGGCTGCCCATTTTATTCAACTTTCCTCAGTGCTGAACAAGACTGGCAGGGTTTTCAGAAACTTGCCACACTTGTTTGATCAGTGGTGACAGGGGGTTAAAAGAGGATTGTAGACACTGGGAAGTGGAATTTTTCATAAACCACTTCCAGATCCCTTAAAAACCATTTTCTATCCCCATTCAAAGGGTCATACAATGTGCTCTGGCACATCATGCTATAACTTCCCACCATATTGGCACATGGAGGATAAGGCCTTTAGTGGCAAGGATGCTAACCTGAATAAAATATGGGAGTGGGGGCGCCTAGCATAATTGATCACACAGCCATTTGAATGGCAATTCCCATTAACTCTCAAATGTTCGGGGGGGGGTGAAGGGCCCCTGGCCCCTAGAAGCCGGCCCCTTTGACTGAAGGCAAGATGGCATCTCCAGGGTTGGAGGCTGTATTCTCCAGAATGCCAGTTGCTGAGAATCAAAAGCAGGGTGTTGCCCTCATGCCCTGATTACAGTCTTTCCAGAGACACACTTTTTGGTCATTGTGGGAAACAGAGGGCTTGACTGGGTGGGCTATTGGCCTGATCCAGCTGCAGGGTCCTTCTTAAGCTCACATTCAAGCCACATGACAAAGCTTTGCAGTGAAGTGGGCAGATTTGGTTCTGGTGGAGCTACTCAGACAACCCTTTCCCCCATGCAGATAGGTGAGGGGGCAAACAAAGTCAACTCACATCTCATCACTTGGGTCATGTGAATCTAGGCTGAGAAGCCAATTTTCCCCCAGCTGGTCTAAGCAGGGAAGATTCCCAAGGAGGGTCCCTCTCTCCTGTCCCTTTTAGGACTTTTAGTCGTCTGGGGCTTAGCTGTGCTTTGAGAGATACCAGGAAGGTGGGGAGAGCAAGAGCATAGGAAGCTGCCTTATACCAAGTCAGATCACTGGTCCATTGAGCTTCGCCTTTGCCAACCCTGGTGCCCTCAGGTGTTCAGGGTGACTTTCTGTAAGTTTTACCACCATCCCCAACCACTGGTCCACGCTGCCTGGAGCTGAAGTCCCACAACTTCTGGAGTGCCTCAGGTTCCCCAGCCCTGGGCTAGAATGATGGGCAGGATCTTTCCAGGGTTTCAGGCAGCCTGCTTGGAGAAGCTGGGGACTGAACTGGGACCACTGACTTGCTCCTCTGTTATTGAGCTCCAGTCCTCTAGCCTCAGCCTTTTCCAGAATCAAAAAGCACCCTCCATGGACAAGAAGGGGAATGAGGAATGTGGCATCCCAAGGGGCATTTCCACAGGAGGGTCTACATGTATGTTTACTACTGTTTGTTTCATTCAAATCCTGCCTTCCCTATACAAAGAGGCATATGCAGGGTCCCCGGGGAGAGGGTCTCCCCTCCAGGCACAGACCAGAGACTGACCTGCTTAACTCCCTCAAGGCTGCAGCAGCATCAGGTGCCTTCGTACCTCCAGCCAGCCTCCTACTGCTTCTCCTTCTCTGCATGCTCAGGTCCCAGTCTAATTGGTCTGCGTATGTTTTCACCATTACCATCTCAAGGCTGTGGTGCCCATCAATGCCCCCCCCATCCTTTATTTTCCTTATTTTAACATTCAGGCCAAATAAGAGCTCTGTGGGGCTCAAAAGATTCCACCCCACAGGGCTGGTTCTTTAAAAAAAAAAAAGTATTGGTGTTTGGTCCTCTCTAGAAATGGGGGAGGGGAGATGATCCTGGGGAAAATTCATTCTTCGGCCACTTGGAAGGGAGGATAGGGCAGCTGAGAGTTTTTGCTAGTAGATAAATCCTTCTCTTCCCCCAGCTGAAAGCCCCACTGGAACTAACAAGTTTTGCGGGGGGGGGGGACAGCTCCCTACAACATCATATAGAAACCAGCAAAAGAAGAGGAGTTATTTGGGGGCAAGGAAATGACAGCAAATCACAGAGAATCACTGGAAGACTAAGAGAAAAGCTTGGTCCAAGGTTTATGTCCAGTTCCATCAGAATGGCAGCCAGACAGAACGAGATGGAGAGAGCAGATTGTCTAATTGTTACAGACCCCCTTGCTTCCAAAAACTAAGCATTCTACATTCACCAGTGGGCTGCTGTTTGGTCAGGGATCAAGGCAGCCTGGGTTGTGGGGAGGCAACTGGGTCGACACCGAGGGTCTTGGGTTGCCGTGAAAGGGGACACCAAGGGCACATGCTCTCGTTACCTTCCATAGACATGGGCTCCAGGATCCCGAACTGTTTGAGGACTGCGATGAAGAGGATAATGACCACCGCCATGGCGCAAAGTTCCATCCCCTGGATCGCCATTGCCAGCCAGCGTCCCGCGATGGGCAGCACAGCTCTGGGGGCATGCGACTCGCACCCCCCAGGGCCAGCTTAGCTCCCTTGGGAACCAGAGTGATGAGGAGCCGGAGCAGTCTGTCTGCAGCAGAGCAGAGCAGGTCCTTCCTTCCCCCTGCAGGTTCACATCTTCCAGTCCTCCGGTTGGCAGGGGTGAGGATGGGCAAAAGCCTCCTTCAGGCTTGCCCCATTGGGATGGTGCAGGGCAGGGGGAATGTGAACGAGGAGCAGGAGGAGGAGGTGGAGGGACGGGGGAGAGGTAAGGTGGTGGGGGTGACGGCCGGCACCCAAGAGGGGCTTGTCGCTGCTTTGGATCATGAAGGAAAAAACCAAGCCTCTAAAAGTTTCAAAACTTGGAGGGCAAAACTTCCCCGGCAGCTGCTGCAGCAAGTTCCCAGTGTGATTCTGGCTGCTTCTTCTCAGAGGCAGAGAATGTCATTGTTGCGAAGTCTCCTGAGCTCGGCCAGTTAAGGAAGCGGGCACGTGCCCCGTCCAGCACAGGCGGAAGGGGTCAGCCAGAGTTTCTGAGGGGCATCCCCCACGCCCTGCAATGCACCGTTGATGGAGAGGAGAGCATTTCCAGGCTGCTGGCATCTCAGCTGTCTGCAATGCCATTGGCTGCAAGGGCAGCTATAAAATATCAGCCCCCACCCTGAGGAGGGAGGAGGAGGGCTGGGAGTCTCTCTCTCCGGGCTCATCTGGCAGGGAAGTCCAGGATGCAGGAGAGAAGAATCACCATGGCGACGAAGCTGTGGTCCAGCCTCATCTCCAAGGAGCAGGCTGATCAGCAGAAGCATTAGTGGTGTTTTTACACAAACTAGTGGTTTGTTTTGGACACTTTGCTGCTGCTTCTTTCTTTCAAACTCTCAGTGTTTGCAAGAGCAGAGAAGGAGGCAGTCCTGCTGGTAAGCAAACAGCTGGCACTCTCTGGCACTGCTACGTTACTTTGTGATATGTTAAGCTACAAGTCTTGTTTTTTATGCTGCTTTTTTGGCTGAAAAGTCCTCCAGAGTGGTGCACCAAAATAAAACTAAACAATGCAATACCATTTCCTTTCAAATGTTCCAGCACCTAAGAATTATGGGCCCATCGATACCTTGGCTTAATAGCTGCTCCACACTTTCTTATCTCTAAATCCAGAGATTTCCTATGCAATCAATGTAGTTCTCCTATTTAGATTTTCTAACATCGGGAGTGTTTGGATTCAGGAAAGAGAAAGTGTGGGACAGTAGTAGGTGGAGAATGCCACATGGCTAAGGGGGAATTAAAGGAGGCTAAAGGGGGTCACAATCCACATTAAACAATGGTATGGATGGGCCATGAGTGACCCTGACCATGTGCCAAGAGCCTTTCCTTGAAGGGAACATTTTGGCTTCAGATTTAAGAGAAACAGGAGACTGGAAGGCAATATGTTTTTGAGCATGTGGAGAAAAAGTACTTTTCCTTCCTACCCCCCACCCTGCTCCCAAAAAGTATAAAGACAAAGTACCTTTGAGCGCATGCAGACATCAGTGGACTACAGTAGTATTCTGAGTGCCAGGATGAATTGTACTACTTTAGAACACTGTTAATGCTCCCCCTTTATTTAAAAAGAAATCCCTGTAAGAACAGTCATTGCAGGAAGTTGCTTGATCTAGAAAATTTCTCCCCGATCAACAGAAGTCTAGTGTCCACATTACGGGAAGGGATAGTACCACTCTAGTCTACCTTGGTCAGACCCCACCTGGAGTCCTGTGCCCAGTGCTGTATGCCACAGTTTAAGAAGGATATTGACAAGCTAGAATATGTGCAGAGGAGGACAACAAAGATGATCAAGAATCTGGAAGCCAAGCCTTATGGGGAACGGTGCGTGTTTAGCCTGCAGAAGAGAAGACTGAGAGGTGATGTGATGGCCATCTTCAAATATCTAAATTGCAGTCACATGGAAGTTGGAGCAAGCTTGTTTCCTTCTCCTCCAGAGGGTAGGGCCCAAACCAATGGATTCAAATGATAAGGAATGAGATTCTGATTTAACATCAGGAAAAACTTTCTGACAGTAAGAGCTGTTCGACAGTGGAACCGACTCCATCAGGCAGGGGCAAAACTAGGCTTTATTTCATCTGGGTCAAAGACCCAGTTTGTCACCTCCCCCCCCCCATGCATTTGCATACATACACACACAGGCTGTGAGCCTCAATGGTGCCATTCTGGAGGCTTCACCCGGGGCAAAAGACCGGGCTGGCCTCGCCCCCTCCGTAGCTACGGCACTGCCCTCGGGAGGCAGTGGACTCTCCTTCCTTGGAGGTTTACAAGCAGAGAATGGATGGCCATCTGTCATGGCCAGCTGTGATTCCTGCATTGCAGGGGGCAGGAATGGGTGAACCTTGAAGTCCCTCCCAACTCTCCAGTTCTCCAATTCTGCGGTTTTATATGTGAGCATTTCACTCATAGGGAGGTCTTATTTTTAGATGGGGGCATGCATTAAAACAACACCTTCTACTGCTTCAGGATTCTATCACCTCACACAGTGCTGCAAGCCCAGAGCAGACCGCAATCAATTGATGCAGTAGAATAAAGAGACAGAAAAATAGACAGTGCCACCTCAAACAACAGGTGGGGGAGATTGCTTTGGAATGTTCCTCCAAGCAAAACTCTAGCAACTCCCTACAGACAGAGAATAAGTAATAAAGGTTCTAGCCTCACCTTGTGCTGGCTTTCTATTTGCAAGAAGTTTTGTTGATGTTTGTCCAGCGATTCTATCATCTCAGCATCCCATCACTGAACCCTGCGGCATGTGTAGACCCCTGCCTCATTTGCCCCTGTGGAAGTCTTTTGATTCAACATGGGTTTTCATGCACTGCTTTGTGGATCTTTCAGAATTCTCCTTTCTTTTTGTTATTCTCCCCCTTTCTCTCGGTAAATTTTAGTGCAAAGAATACAGCTCCTCCTTCTGTTTGCTGAATCACATACATTTTACAGCAATGGTTCCGATGAACCATCTGAAAACTGCTGAAGGTCCTGGAGGATCACTTAATAATTTTTGTGCCTCTTCAGCATTTGTAGTGCACTGTGCTAGAAGCTGTCTAATTTTTAATTGCTTCTTTTCTTTCCCATCTAATTCAATTTGTAATATAATAAAATGCAATGTAAGAAATAAAAGAAGCAATAGAAATACAATTAATAATGAACACAAACCTTTAACATGATGGAAGTGCCATCTCCTGCCTTCAATCATAATTTTCAGAAATGCTGTGGACTACATGGACCAATGGTGGTCCGCAGACTAGTTAGTGAACCCCTGAGTTACACAGCAATCCTATACGTCTACTCAGAAGTAAGTCCATTGAGAAGTATAAGTCCATTGAGTTTAATGATTTATTCTCAATTAGTGCGTTAAAGGACTGCAACTTTAGTTGCTCCAAACTTGTGGAGGGTTGAACCTCCCCCCCCCCCCGATTTCAAACATATTAAGATGTTATTTTTATTTTATTTTAAAATGAAAATAAGTGGCACAAACACCTCAGCAAAAATGCCAGATTGTACTTAAACATCAGTTTGACAGATCCACCCCTCCCCACCCTCATTTAAGCATCCTGCCTTCACTCCTCAGAATGAAAGGTGTAAAAAAACTCAATTATTCATGCCAGGAAGAAAAGGGAACTTTGATTTATGTCTTGTGGCTTAGAAGGTTTATGCCCCTTATCTATTTCTATGTTGCAGTGGTTTTTTAATTATTCATTTTAAGTGCTGAATGACTGAGTGGAAGGTAAGCTTGTTCCTAACCTCTGTGATGGGACGAATCACAACGTAGAAGAGCAATTTGCTGAACAGACACCATAAATCCAACTCATTTAACCCCCCTCCACCAAAAATAAATAAAAAATTAAATTAAAAAATCCTTCCACAAAAGCAGGAATTGTGAAATCATGTGACAGGTAGTTCCACAGGACAGCATTACACCACAAAATAAAGTATTCATATCTTTTACATCTCATGCTGGCTGGGAAGGCAAGAAAGGAGAGGGGCTATAGTTCAGAGCACCAGCTTCTCACGAAGAAGGTACAACCAACTCACCAAAAGGATTGGGGAGATGGAGAAGGAACAGACTTTGGGGAGCTGCTGTCAAGAAATACCAGATTAGACAGACCAACAGCCTGGCCTGACATAAGGCAGCAGCTACTGAAGAAACTATATTTTTACAAACCTCCAAAAGCATTTGCACAAATACTAATGTTGTGAAAGGGACTTTAAAAAAATGTTTTGGAAATTTCCTTCTTTATAAATCATACACTTTCCTATACTGCACTGTACAGTTTCTGCTTATTGTGTGACTGTTCCAAAAAGGATTGGTCCAAGATAGACATTTGGCCACCCAAAAGGTTGCAGTACACAATCCCAGGATCCTTTGCAACATCAGGAGAGATCAGTGGGCAAAACTCTTAGATTAGATCACATCCTGTTTTACTGGCAACTCTAAAAATGGTTCCACTCCAGCTCTCGAAAAACTAGGACTAGCCTTCCCTATCCTGGTGCTCTCTAGACATGTTGGACTATGATGTGCATCAGCCCCAGCAAGCATGACTGCATGATGCTGCGGCTGATGGAGTTGTAGTTCAAAACACCTGGAGGGCGCCAGGTTGAAAAATCTGGTTGTCAGGGGGTTTAAGGCCGGGTTATTGGAAAGGCTCCCTTTTCCCATGTGAACCCACCCACTTCTTAAGATCATCACCAGAGGCCTTCTTACATCTTCTGAATATCCCTGAGGTTAGTTAGTTTGGGACAAAGTTGGGTGAAGGTGTTCTTAGTTCAGGCTGCCCCCCCCCCCAATCCTGGGAACTGTAGTTTGCTAAGGGTGTTGGGAATTGTAGCTCTGCGAGGAGTAAACTACAGTTCTCAGGATTTTTGCGGGGTGCGTTTTAAATATATGGCGTGCACTGAATTTTTAAACTTTTTGTTGCTTTATTGTTGATGTCAGCATCTTTGGACTATTCTTAGGAAAAGTGGTGCGTGCATTTCAAAATTAATAAATACATGTCTTAGAAATCTTCCTTTTTTGTATTCACAGCTTCTTTAGGGGCAAATACAAATATATTTTATTTATTACTGATTCCTTACATGTTACATATATCCCACCTTTCTCCCACCACACAACCCAAGGTGGCAGGCATGTGGTTCTCAGAAGGTAAGCCTTTTCTAAAGAATCACAGAATTGTAGAGTTGGAAGGGACCCTGAGGATCATCTAGTCCAACCTCTGCAATGCAGGAATATGCAGCTGTCAAACCAACAACCTTGGCGTTATCAGACCACACTTTAACCAACGGAGCTAAGAGACCCCCTCCACGCCCTGCAGACAAAGAGGCAGAGGTGCCTTGGGGGCCCGAGCACCCACAAAATTCCCCAAGAAGGGGCTGGGCACCCACAAATTTCAGTGCCAGGGACATGCACGATGCACGGCACCCACAGCCCCGGGCACCCATGGTTGCGGGGCCAAGATGGCACTCCTGCAAAGAGGTAAAAGCTTGCAATGAAATGCATGGAGAACGCATGCTTAATAGGGGTAAAAATGCTTAATGAACTGACATATTACAGCTGAGATCTTAGATTTCATTTCATGTTTTAACTCTTGTTTTTAATCTGTGGTTTTAAAATATGATGCTTTTGTGGAAAAAGTGACAAACAAATATAATAAATAAATATTGTTTATTTATTTCTGCTGATCTAAATGCTATTATTTGTTACAGTTTTCACTCAGAATGCCCAAGGAGACTTACAATAAAATACATAGCAGAGCCAGTGTGGCATAATGGTTAGAGTGTTGGACTGGGACCTGGGAGAGCAGGGTTCAAATTCTCCACTCAGCCATGAAGCTTGACCTTGGAGTCAGTCGCCCTCTCTTAGCCTAGCCTTCCTCGCAGGGTTGCTGTGAGGATGAAGTGGGAAGAAGGAGAACCACGTACACTGCCTTGAACTCCTTGGAAGATAAAGGTGCTACATAAATGTAGTAAATAAAATGAAAATAATTAAAAATAGCAATGATAGAATGAGCAAATATGGGTGGGGGGAAAAGCAAAAAGCAGCAGCCAGTTAAAATCATAATGAAATCACAAACTGAAGTGGAGAGCAGAGAGAAAAAAGATTAAATCTACTCAGTGTGCCAAAAGTATGTTTAAATAAAAAAGACAGACACCTGCCAATAAGAGCTAGACTGGCCTCTCGCAAAAAGGAGTTTCAGAGCCTGGGGGCAGCACTTGGGAAGCCGTCCCCCATCTCAAGTTGCAACCAAGAGTATGTACTTCTGATGTGGGCAGGACAGAGAGGAGGAGAGTAGCCCAGAAGAGGGCCAAAGCTGGGCAGGCTTGTGTGGAAGAAGGTGGACTTGCCACTAATTTATGCTGCAATCCTAAGCACCATTGAGTTTGAGAAGACTTACTTCTAAGTAGACATGGTTGGGATGGCTGTAACTCCATAGCTGTCAACTTTTTCCTTTTCTTGCGAGGAATGCTATTCGGAATAAGGGAATTTCCCTTTAAAAAAGGGAAACGTTGACAGCTATGTGTAACTCTACGAACATGGGAAGTTGTCTATCAATTCATCTTTCCCAGCATTGCCAACACTGACTGGCAGCAGCTCTCCAGGGTTTCAGGAGTTTCCAGGGATTGAGCCTGGAACCTTCTGTGTGTATGGCAGATACTGGAGGCTTCCAGACTGTCAGGGTTCAAGTTGTGCAATTAGTTGGTTGGGAGGTCTTTTTGCAATGTGAGGAAATGCCCTGGAAATTGTGAGATAATACTTGCTTGAAGCAACATCATCTAGCCTGATGACGCCTGCCTGCACTTGCTGCATCCCACCCTGCCACCTGGAAGGGATGCTGATCGCAACACCAACACCACACAATTTGTTCCTCATCCTTCAGAGTGAAAAGCTGCTTCCTAAACCAGAATGTATTCTGATTTCCTTAATACACCAAAATAATTTCAGAGCGCTCCCATTTTTCGCACGTGCTGAGGCACTGCTACTGTTTTTAAAATCTCGTTCCTTCTTG